CTTTCACCACAGGCAAACTTTGATCTATATGGATCAGGGAACCACCTAGCGACTTATTCAGCCAGAAGGTGAGGCTTCTTTCATGGTCTAGTCTTAACTGGGCATCCGGGCTAAAAAAGTCGAACATCTTCTCAGCTTGGGGGACCCTGCTGAAGGATAAACCTCCGCTGTACTTCACAGTTCGCACCCAGAGTCACCGCCGTACCAAGACGAGGCGGTAGACCATCACCGGAGTATGTTGATTAATTACAATAAAAAGAGGAAAAAATGAGGACAAATCTTTTACAGCAATCGTTTTTGCCAAGTTAGCTACATAATGAACCATTTCGAGGTCTGACATTTTGTTTGAACAAATATTAAACTTTTATTCCACCTCAAAGGTAAGATTGCAAGCAACCATATAATAAATAAGCTGAGGATATATAGGATCACATTATTTCGTCCATGATGCTAAACTGTAAGTGATTTTCTTTTTCTTCGACATCAACACCTGCGAGTCCCTTTTTACAGCTGAAAACAATTGTAAATTCTTTTGCTTAGGTACCGCATTTCGAGAAGTTAGTGACATTATAGAAAATATGTTCATTCTTTTTTTGGAATTGTGGAACTTTTTTGTTTGAGATCCAGCGGTCTCATTTCCTCTGAAAGAGATACCCGACCAAAAGTTTACGTGAGCCCCTACTAATGAGAGCGATAGGAAGCATTCGTAGCAAGGCCCTTAAACTTACTCCATACTTCTATGAGGATTAATTTCATTTTATAATAAAAAAAATTACCATAAGATCAAGTTTCAAGCTTCTAGCAAGCTATCAGCAGCTTTCGGAACTGTTGAGAATTGTAGATGTCACAGCAGCACCTTTAGTTTATCGCGTTCTGTAAATATGAAAAAGCGTTTGACAGTCTAGACGCTATATCAGTGGTAGTTAACCAAATGTGTATCCATTTGAAGTGAGGACATTTTACAGCTGAATACTTCATCTAACTTCAGTACAATTTTTCTTCATTGCAATTATATAGTATTTTTTCCAACGTCGTAAACCACTTTTATAAACAGCAATTCGGCATCGTTTCCGTCTTGAGAAGCATATGAAGCAGCAATGACACTGGAGCTAAGTGTAGTGGAAAAATATAATATTGAAGTGATTCGAAGGAACACCTAATCGTAATGATGAAGAAATGTCTAGGAACCATTAGCTGCTGAAACGTTCCTAAGCGTGTCTCGGACGTTTTTAATCATAGATGTTGTGAAGGTAAAATATGCAGAAGAGCATGAACGCCGAGCTTCTTGCAGGAACTTATTAATACCGGGCCTTGATGATCTGTGGGTCAATCCATTGCCACTTTGTTACTCTCAAAGAGAACAACTGTTTGATCGAATTAAAGATAAATCTAATACCTCTCAAAGTTTTTCCCGCGTCGTAGTGCAGTTGCTTGAAGGGAACTTTTCTTGAGCTGATATGGTGTGTTGGAAAAAACCGACGATAAGCTTAGGCTTTAATACGTTTCTAACGTTTCGGAGAGATT